TCTCAATCAAATATTTGAGTATCAATAGTCACGAATGGACTGTTATGTTATCGAAAAAATGACGTATACTCGAGATTTCTTATAGAATGTCCAGAATGATTTTTAAATCGATTTCATTTTAAAGAAATTTCGAACAGACCCTTTAATATAGAATGTTCGATAACAAGATTTCGTAAAGCTATATCATTTGCAATATTAAACCGAAAAGATCTGACGTTGTTTGCATGATAATACATGATTACGTTGCAAATTATTTCGTGACCTGTGTACTAATTTCCGTTAGTACTACTCGAGTTGTACTACCAATATATATAATTTAGAAACAAAATTCCAATTACCATTTTTAATAAATAATAAATGTACAAGACATCACGATAATTGAAAAAAAGTATCGTACTACGTTAATTAGTTTTAGTAGAACTCTTTAAAATCATTTTAAATAGAGTTCTGATTTTTTCGACTTTGGTTTTTTAGCATAACAAATAGCGGAGTTCTTTTTATTTTTTATAAGGAACTGTAGAACTATTAAAAAGAAAAAAAAGTACTACTAGAATCACTATTTTTTTTTATATTAATAGAATGTGGCGCTAGCTTTACAAATCCATCAATTTGGATTGTGAAGTAGTTAGTACATCGTTCTATTAATATAAAAAGAAATAATGACAATCCCAGCATTTTTCATAGTTTTATAGTTTTTTATCAAAATAAAAAAAAAGTTATTTATACTAAAAAATCAAAACTGAAAATATGGTGTGCTAACTTCGGGAATCTAACATTTCTTTTAAAGTACAAAAAAAGAAAAAGACAAATATTTTTACTTTTAGCTACAGTTATAGTATTACACTTTTGTTTCTCTATATCTTTTGTTCCATCTGGAATTCTCTTTCGTTCGTTCTGTTTAACTGTACCTATTTAATCTAGAAAGTAAGTTAAGAGTGTCACTGTTACAAATACGCTTTTTAAAATGTTGAAACTTATAATACTCGATGAGTGTATCGTATTTTATATACTTGTAAATACAGTTAAAATTGTTTATCTGTGTTCACATTATTTGACATCAAATACATTAGTCCACCCTTCTGTTTTCTCTATGAAATGCATATACACAGACAGTAATGCGTAAAGTTATCTCGATATTTATGCATTACATGTGCCATTAGAGCTGGGAAAATTATCGAAAGTTTCACGAAAATTCTAATCCATTAGTAATAAGAGATATTCTCTCGCTACAGATATTTAGAAAACAAATACGCAAACGGTTATAAAATTAATCAAGTAATAATACAAAAAAATCGTAAAAGAGTATATAGAGATTTTGACGAGTGTTTCAGAAAGAATAATGTACGAATAAGCGTAACCATTCACCGCTGGCGTGCTTACAAAGAAAGCGCAAACGCCGCGCAACGTGTAATTATATGCATATTTGTTCGTTCACAATTTTGACGGCACGCAAAGGTTTCCGCTCCAACTTGGTCACGCGATTGGAAATCAACCCGCGGAATACTCTAACATCAAAGAACATCCGTGCGTTCTCCAAATTGCCGCAACGTCGTTCGGTAGTTCGAACCAAATTTTAGCCACCAACTGAAATTCTCTGAGCCTCAAATCCTGCTCAGTTTTTTGACGAGTGATGGAACGAAGACCTTGTCGAAAATGTATAACAGACGACGAGAATGAGGCGGTTGTTGGGACTGCAAACAATAATTTCAAACTCGCAATAGAAAATGAGAACGGTTGACACAACTGCGTACGACTTCTCGAAGAGTGCGAGCAAAAACAAAGAGGAGAAGGATGAGTCGGAGGAACGCACAACGAGCTGCTTCATCATGCTGGGAAATCAAAACACGAAGGACAAGGCGTTGGAAAAACAGGGAGCTCCGTAGCTCGCGTGCATAACGTGCGACATGAATTAAACATACGCTGTTCACGATCCGGACGACGGAGGTTGAGGCGAATGCCGAGAAGCGTCGCGTTGGCAGGGAGATGAGGGGAGGAATGAAAAGACAACTCGGTGAAATTGAAGTCGGACGAGGGAAAAGACGGAAGCGAGAAAGGCAAAGAAAGAAGTGTACACGCTGAAAACTTTCAACCGTTGCTGAATTGTAGGATACGTCCTAAGACACATTCAACGGTATATACCTGTTGGAAAATAGGTACTTCAATTAAATTAAATATGTTTCGCTAGATGCGCAAACCGTAAACTTATATCACCATCTCCGATTGAAACCATCGATGTTCTTGGTTCGATTTTCATTATGCGCTCCGAGTAAAGTTCGCAACTCGTGAAGCGTCCTATCGACCTCAATATTAGTTATTCGTAGTGCCCATCCCTAACCGGGGGTCTGCCCAATGACTGGAAGGACAATAGCTGGAGTTTACGAGGGCCGGTCTGAAACTTGGCTCCAACATCGAACAGTACATGGAACTCAAAACTCACCCCCGTGAACGAGCACGTCCGCGACGACCTCGAGTCCTCACCCGCTATCCAGCCACCACTCTCGCGTACTCGTTCATCTTCGGCTATCTCCGCTGACGATCGGTCGCGCGCAGCCCTCTCCGACAAGGTGGATAGGATGACCGGGGAAAGCAACCAGCGGAGAGGGTGCGGTCGAGAATGCGGGAAACGACGAGGCAAGCGGTTACGAGAGCGGATGGTCCGCGGTTTTACTAGCGATGAGAAGCGACAGAAATTCCGCAGAAAGATAGAGAGAAAAAAAGAGAGAAAAGACATGAATTTTTGGTTCCTTTTCCTCATCCCTTTCTTGTCCTTTCTGGATTCCTAATATATATATATATATATA